GGGTTAAAACTTAAACAGGGGAAGTTTAGGCTGGATATAAGGAGGAAATTCTTTCCTGTAAGGGTGGTGAGGCACTGGAATGTGTTGCCCAGAGAGGCTGTGAATGCTCCATCCCTGGCAGTGCTCAAGGCCAGGTTGGACGAAGCCTTGGGTGAGATGGTTTAGTGTGAGGTGTCCCTGCCCATGGCAGGGGGTTGGAACTTGATGAGCTTAAGGTCCTTTCCAACCCTAACTATCCTATGATTCTGTGATTTTTTACTGGCCCTCTGTTTCAGCTATCCCATTGTAACTCAATTTTTACCAAGACCTGCTCAGCAAAAAGCAGCATATCCACTTCTAAGTTTTACACTGGAAAGATCTGTGAAGCCTATGAGCCTACCCTGTCCCATGTCATTACAAACGAGTTAAATCTGGTTTTAATTTGCATGGCACTGGATTTGAAGAAGGCTTAGTTCCGTGACTCCAGTATGAGCATTTACTTACCCAGGTATATCAACAGCACCATAAATCATCTTACCATACCAAAATACCTTTGACTGCATAAACTGCATAAGGGGACCCAGCACTCTCTGTGAGCTTTTATTTCTATTTCATAGTGGCTGTTAGATGGCCTTTTGGAGAGAGCAGGGTAGGCAGAAATGGTTGACAAGAAAAATAGGTAAGGAAAGGGTAAAGAACAAGGGTAAAGTACAGCTGCAGTACTGTGATGTGAATAGACAGGAGAAATCACACACTGAGGATGATCTTTAGCCCCTGTAGTGTTTTGGGGGCAGGAACAGTGTTTAACACTGTATTTAAGTGGTGACTAGTGCAAAGAAGTATTGACCTTTGGGTTGAATAAATGTGACTTTAATATCTACAAAAAGAACAAGAGTCTTGGGCCTCAGCTACTGTTTACACTGAGCACACCAATGTGTGCCATACACCACGAACCTCAGCAGTTATAGGCAAGGCCTTCTGAGCACATCAACTGGACTAGGCTGTCTTTACTTCATCAGGTGCTCCTGGGAACACTGAACCCACAGCTAAGTGGAAGAATCAAAATCAGATGCCTGACTGCATCCAGAGTGAGCCCAATATAACCACAGCTCCTGTTACTGAAGGGTACCTGGTCTGGCTGGAAAGCAACCCAGGTGACCTGTAAAGCCCAAGTCAATTTTACATGACAATCCCACTGAGGGTCTGGGGTAAGTGGCACTACAGAGCACCACACATGGTGGGCAGGTTTTCCCCAGGCAGCATCCCAGCATCAGGGCTCAGTGTAGCCCTATGACCACACTGGAAAGCAAATTATGTGGGCAGTAGTGACCTGCACCACTAGCACAAGGCACAGGGATCCTTTGCAGTCCTTTACCAGTCCTTCGATCCCTCCAGGGCTATCTCACAGTGTCACTGGAGTTTTCCCAGTCCAGACCTTCCTCCTACCACTGCTACACCTGTGCTGGAAATGGCTACCTGCTCTGCCACTTCAACATGTTGTGGCACATGATGAAGATTCCCAATACCATCTCCCTAGAGAATCCAGAATTTCTTTTTTAGGGTTACAGAAACTTTTAAAAACATTGGATCTCACACAGGGCATATGGCTCCACCAGTGTGAAAATAACGTGTGTGGCTTTGCTCCTTCAGGCGACTTCTCCTTTGTGCATCAGGTAAATGATGAATTACCCTGTCAGTCAGAGCTCTTCCTTTCAGGGAGATAAAAAGCATGTGTTTGAATAGAAGTTACTTGGTTTTAGCTGCCTCACAGCCTCATTGATGGATGTGACAAGTTGCTTCTGTGGCACCCAGTCCTGGGAGCTGCACCTTAGATTTGGCATGGGATACAGTGCAGTGCAGCAAAATAGTAGCCAGAGCTGAAGTCTGGGCTTCTGGGCATCACCAAACTACACAAAACACTGCAAAGCCTGCAGGGTGAAGACAGCATGGAGCTGTTTTTATCTCTAAACCCAGTGGCTGACACACGGAGTCCCTGATGCAGGCTGTAGTTCTGCTGGTCTTTCGGCTTTGAGCTTGGCAGATCTACCTGGGCTGGAAGCTGCTGCATTGCATCAGCAAAAAGCTGCAGCCAAGCCAGGACAGATCTCCCTTAAAATTATATATATATATATATACACATGTACATATATACAATATATATACATAAAAGTGACATGGGGAAAATTATTACTAGGGAAAAGTCACAAGCTAGGGAGTGGCCATGTCCTATAGATGTCTTCATGGAGCCCATTTTTACACTTCTCATAGCCACACTTACCAAAGGAGGAAAACGTGGTTCTTGATTGGCAATCAGTTCCAACTCTTTACTGAACTTACCTTCATCCTTATGGCACTACCTTGCTATCCCCATAAATGTCTTATCCAAGAGTGATGAAAGAAACTGTTACAGAGCTCTGCTGGCTCTATCCAGTTAAATGTAATGTGGGGACAGGGTGGTCACTGTTTATGGAGCCTTTATAATGAGGGATGATCCAGAAAGATTTTAACATTCTCATCATCATGAAATGATAGCCCTGAGGGTAGTGAGCACTGTACAACTGGACTGGTCCACTGCCAAAGAGTCTGAAGTTTACTTACAGCATGTGGATGCCTATACCAAACAGTCTGGAGCATAAAGAAAACCTGCACAAGTCCTACTTTATTTTTTACTGTACTGCCTAATAGATGCTTTGTCAAGTTATACATTTCTTGCTGTGACAAATTATTATTCTTCTCCTGACAGGACCTCCAGCTGAGTCTGCTGTGCTCAATTAGGAGTAAATGCATATTCTAATCTGCCCCATGGTGCAGTAACATTTCACTCTGTGGCCTTGGCAAAGGCACCATTTAACTATTTCTGCAGTGGTTTCACATGCAGCACATAATTCTAATGTCAGCAGCATTTCCGTCTGTTCTAGTTTCCGTGGCAGTACTCCCTTAGGCGCTGGGATGTGGACAATTAAAGCCCACTTTATCATTTTGGAACCAATGATTTCCTTCCCCTGATACAGTTCATCACTGCACAGCAGCTGCTTTCACCATCACAATCATCTTTGCCTATCCAAGCCATTGCAGTCTTCTGTTGTGATCACTCTCCACTGCTGGACTTTCAAAAGGTGCCCCAATGCCCCTCCTAAAACAATGCATCAGGTCTTGCCCTTCTCACTAGTCATGACCATCTTCAGATCTCCCCCCATCTACGGCAACAAACAGATCACCTCAAAACCACAGAGCCTATGCTGTATGGAAAATTTTCAAATAAAACATCAAGACTTTTGTGAAATGTCTTCTAATGCTGTAGCAGCACTTGGAAACTACCCAGGCGTGACTCAGCAGCCATGGAGAGCTGATGAGATGGGAACCCACATGACATTACTTTTATGGTACAATATGGCTCTCTTCACTGTTTGCAGGGAAAACAAACAATTAAGGGTTATTTGTGGGGGAAAAGAAAAAAAAACAGTCTAGTGAGAGGAATAAATTGCACTAGAAAAAAGGAAAAGTGAAAGATTCTTTACAGGAAATCAGGATCTCTGTGGAAATACTCAGTTGTGCTCGTACATTCAGAATGATGTCTGCCCAGAGGGATGGCACTGCCCTTTTTGACTGCCTCCAGGCTATTTCTGAACCACTGAGTCTCAGAAATACTTCTGGAAAAATCTTTCATTTCAAGTCCCAATTTTTACCTTTTTGCAGAGGATCTTCTCATATGCTGTTTTACTTACCTGTGGTCAGAGGTTTGACCATTCTAAACCCTTGTTTGCCTAAAACAAACTCATGGTCCCTGATGCATTCAGTAGCCTGAAAATCCCATTAATTATTTGAAATCATGGTTAGCTGAATTAATTCAATGTCTCCCACTCAACTTGGATAACAAAGGTTTGACTGCATTTTTTTTTTTCTTTTAATGTGCAGTGGGCTCTCTGGTACTACTTAGCCTATTAAAAATATATCTCTCCTTTTAATCAGCACAGCAAAACAGAGATAAGCCTTCTGAAAAGGACTTGAAAAGTAGCAGAGGAATTATGTGCAAGTCTGTAGAGTATAGCTGTAAAACATCATACAAAAATTTAATTGGTATCCATGAAAGGCACCAGCAGCTGGGTCAAGAGGATTCTTCATGGAACAGTTCAGCAAGGCAGCAGCAGAACAAATGTTTGCTTTTTCAATGCATTCAAAGCCTGTAGTGGAACAGCACTGCTGAGTGATCAAGCCTACTTGGTCTTTAACTTCTCCACTATGGCCTTCGAAGGTTGGCCAGGGAAAGGGATCAAGGAGCAGTCTGATAAAATGCCTCAAGTTAAAGGTTCAAGGCTTTGCATTGGCAAAAGCAGCCAAAGCAAGCAAATCAACCCAGTCTGAGATTAGGATTGCTGTACTTAACATTTTAAGAAATGGTCACTTCTTGCACTGCACTGCAATACATCTGCAAGTCAACAGACTCATCCACTGTAGTTCTGGTATCTAGTAGGGCATCTAGTCTGTTACAAGCAGCTGGGTGATGAGAAAATACGGTGGCAATCAGAGGGCTCTGGGGCATGTTAGCTCCCTGCTTAGCAACAGATCCAGTAGCTACCTTAGACATGAGAGATAAGTACACAACAACATAGAATTTTTTTAATAGCACCTCATTTCCATGGATGAGCACTGAGCTCACACTACACATTACACAACACCACTGGTCATTTTGACACTCTGCGTCACTTCTTTTCTGATGTGGTGGGTGTGCTGCGCAGACCCTGCTATGGGAGAGCTAGCTCAGCTATTAACTCCTTTGGGCTAGTTGTGACTGCTTTTTATTGTAGATCTGTGCCGGATCTGAAACTGTGCCTTAGCAATGAAAAGCTCCCCAGGAGATATGGGAATATCTCATTAGCAAAATTACTTTTTTCCAAGAGTGATTTTTGTGTAAACATAAAGCCCTTCATTTACAATGAAAACATTTCAGCAGCCATCTCTTCTTCCTATTTTCACACGATTTGCCAGGAATTTTTATTGTTTTCTTGTATATGTATGGAAAGGAGCAAGATCCTTCAGGAGCTGGCTGATGAGGCACATGTTTCAGGTAATGATAAATACAAATGCAAATATAATCTGGGTGTGGCTTTTTGTTTAGTTGCTTTCGTACTGCTTAATTTGTTTATTTTATTTGCTAGATTAATCCTAGCCCTGTTGTAGCAGGGTCTTACCGGGTTGTGGTATCACATGTGGCTCACATCATAGTCAAATAACTTTTGGGGTGAGGATTACATAACCTTGACTTGTTTTCACAAGCACAAAATTAGCAAAATTGGGAGATTGTCACCAGGCCTTGAAAGAAGAATGAAGGAAGGAGATTGGATAAGGCAGGAGAAATAGAATGTGCAGCATTTTACCCCTCCAAACTGTGGAAATAGCATAGAGGGGCTCATCAGAGACTGTAGGTCCTGTGCAATTCACAGAAATGGGCTGTAGTATAAGGATCACCTGGAACAACCCTGTCTGTACAGCCCCAGCACAGCTGGTCAGGTCAGAGCACAAGCAGACCAATGGACAGCCGAATGATTGTGCATGACAACAGAGACATGGAAATGCTCTTCTCTATCAAAGGTGACTGTACAGAAATCCCTGTAAGTTTGTGTGGATTAGGATCTAGATGCTCACCTCTCTTTTCCAAGGGACATTTTGTTGCCCAGTTTTCATTGAGTTAAACTCATGTAACTAGATCTCAGCTTCCTACCCCAGTGATACTTTAAATGCAAAATTGAGACTTGTTTGTACTTTCTTGGTGACAGATTTCTCAGCCTAGAAGAGAGAAGGATGAACAAAAATCTCAGATCAAAGCCTTGATCTGGCAAATGAAATGTTACTCAACAGCAGCTAGGAGCTACCAGCCTTCAACCAATAAGCACTGAATGAGCAGCATAGTTATCTGGGAGAGAACTTCCTTCTGATCATAACTATCTCAGGGAGAGAAGCATACTGATAGCCAGACTTCGTGCCACCATTTCTATCATAACTTTGGAATACGTTTGACAAAGTAGGTCACATTAAAAACCTGCAGTTATGAGATCAAAAAGTACATATTAGTCCAACAACCAGTGCCAGGGTTGAAGGCAAAATGCAGCACTCCTACATCCCAGTCCAGTACCCTGTCAGAGATTGTTTTCTCCAGGCTTTCTTAGCTACCCCTGGATGCAACAGCAGCATATTTGCCCGCTGCCTCCACTTCAGTGATACTCACCTTCAGAAAAAGGATATCAGCTAATTAAGAGCAAGCTCTCTGATGATCAGTTCATTTGCAATTCCTCGCATTGGGATTGCATAATACAAGGCATAACACCAGCCACTCCAGCAAGAGAAATCGAGAGAGATGTGCAAATGGAGAGAGGAGGATTTGTCCTTGAGGGAGGACGTTTAGCATACCTAGAAACACATTTTTAAAATTAATTGATCCCCTTAAGGAATTGTGAGTGATGGATTAGAGACTTTAACCGGGGAAGAAGTCTGTGATACTGTGTGTTTGAGAAGGCACTGAAAAAGGATGTGAGTTTGCAGTCTCATGTGCTTAAGCTAAACCATCAGCCTCGGTGTGGAACATATTCATTGGCTGGAGAAGGAATGGATCAAGGGGACCCTTGGAGCTATGTGCAAGCAGAGGAGGATCTGTGGCACCTATTCCTGGCCAGCCGGCCAGCTCTGAGAGCAGCTGTGTGAGAAGCAGAGAGGGAAAGCAGCACCAGAGAGGAATATAGCATGCAGTGGTATTTTAAAAACATATTCTTGACTCTGAGAAATGTCTAGATAAGCAGGATAGCAGATGATATGGAGATTTCTTATTTTAATGGAAAAGAACAGCAGGACATTGCTTCAGATGTGCTTCCTTACTAAATCTGCCTGTTAGTTGTCGAGTCTGAGTCATCTCTATCTTAGTATGCAACATGTTCCACCAAGTAATGAGATTTCTTTGAGTTTCCACTGTATTAGACTTCTCTACACATCAAATATTTAATAAGAATTAGCATCCAGCCATCCTCCCTCCTCCCCGCCACAATAATATTAACTTCGACTCAGACACCAATATTCTGCAATTCACAGTGCTGTGAAGGGTAAGTGAAAAAGCCCTGTATATTTTTCCAAGGGATTTGCTGTGCTCCTCTGCAAACACACAGTAATTGAGAAAAAGGATGACCGACAGAAAAAGACACAGTAAACTGAAGGTGTGAAAAGAGACTTCTCATTAGTCTTTGTGTCAGTTATGGTATCTGAGGAACAATTTCATAGCAATAGCATATTTATTTGATGTGGCACAGATATCTGGGCTCACTGTTACGGATGGCATTTGCTCTTTATGCTTAAAGTACCTCTTTAACAAAATGGCACTCCATAAAAATTTAGTGTGTTCCTACTGTAATTAAAAAGCCCTAGTCATTTTTGCATTTATGATATAAACTATAATAGCTGTAAAATCCTGCAATTAATTTGCGCCAACATTTCATACTTGAGAAATTCTCATTACAAATTTCATTACTTATTCACTTATCTGTAATTTCTCCTATATAACCTAAAGAATATTAACAAATTTAGAGTCACTTTTGCTCTATTAAAAGCTAAATAGAAAAGCCTTTCACCTAGCAAGCCAATCGTGGTAACATTCTCAAGCCTGCTCCAAAACGGCAGTGAGCCACAGTCAGGCTATACAGAAAGAGATATTCTTTATGAAGTACAAGCCATAACCAACATGCAAAGCCCTTTGGAAACTGTGTGATGTATCCTTAGCTAATCCACTGCACCTTCATTAGTTTAAAAGCATTAAAAGGCTTGAATGTCTTTCTTAACTATGGCTGTGAAATTGACATGCAGCAGGGCAGGACAGGCAATAAAACAACAAGGAAACAGTTATCTATCCAGGCAAGAGCAACTATGCAAAGTCCAGAAAACAGGGATTCTGTTTCCCCTTCCCTCTTCAGTTTTCTTCCCTGCTGCTCACAGTCTTAATTCGCTCTCTGGATGTATGCAGGACTTCAAGGGCTGTAAAATCTTAAGGAGCACTGAGGAAAAGCCCCAGTTTTCCTCCAAATAAACAATGGTGCTACTAAAATAAGACAGAAGGACTGGCAGAAGAGGGCTGCACATGTGAGCCCATGGGAGAGGGAGAGGAACTTCAGCTGCCCTGTAGTTTCTCCTGGCTGCTGAATTCTGACTGCATGACAGCAAAAACACCCAACTGCTCTTGAAATTTTGACCATGTCTTCTTCATGGCTATATGTTCTCTGTCATCTTCTCTGGGGCCAGTGCTCCAATCCTGCAGATGCCAGAACTCTGCTGAAAGCATCTTAAGTAAAGAAAAACATCATCTCCAAGACCGCTGACTACTCCTTGCTCCATCCAAGTCCAGTCCAGCTCTGCCCAACTTCCAAATGGCAATTCCAAATATGCTTTTCATGAATTTTCACCCTTTCTATTCATTTAAAGTCATTTTTACTTATAAGAGGATGCTCTACTCCTTTCCCATGTTTTTTCTGTGTTTTTGCAGGACATTCATTGTATTAATAGGCTACTTTTTCCAAGTCTTGCATGCGATGGTAAAATATGACAATAGAAGCCAGCAAGGAGCAGGCAGGAAAGGTTGAAGCTCAGACTGGCCCTCTGGCAAAAAAAGGAATAAAGACATTTTTTAACTCATAGTGCAAAATCTACAAGTACAACTCCACCTCCAAAAAACTGCCTGCTGAACAATTTGTATTACAGCCCAGTAACACAAGCTTTGGACATGCCCTGAGTATTCTGTGAATTAATGAAATAAGAATAAGCAATGAGGAAATAAGTAACGATGTCCTAAAGCTTGGGTAGGCTGAAACAAGAAAAAAAAACTGGGATACCATCAGCTTTAACTGAGAACCCTTAGAAGTATGCAATTAAAGATTTTATTCCCATGAGAAGAACTTCGGCTGACTTTGCATCTTGACTTTGCAAACAGTAGGAAAGACATTATAATACATTATGCAAAAGAGAAATATTGTGTAAAACAAGGCTTAAAAACAAGTAACTTCACCTCCCTGAAACAGAAGAAAGCCCAAACACAGTGTACCAGGACAGTGTCACTTGTTTTCCATGAAACTATATTCACAATGCAGAGAGGCTCAAATGTAAGTATATATGTATGTACTATACAAAGACATATAATTTCTCCCCTTCCCGACAATATATAACATTATATTGACATTTTACTAGACTTTGTGCCACATTCATTTTATTTCAATCTGTAATTAACATCTACAAAATTTAACTAGGAGACAAGAAATTACTATTCTAGCATAAGTAATCTTGCTTCTCAAAATGGCAGCTTTAACACAACCAACAATACAATTCATACAAGAGAGAAACTGTCATACTTATTAGTTTTGTGTGCTCCATCTTTTACAGAATATTATGGTGTAAATTGAAATTTTATATGATTTAATAAACTTATATGATAGCCAAGTACCCACATAACTGTAACAAACTGTACTCCTCTCTTAATCAGGGCTCTTGGTACATGCGGGATGCTCTTTCATTATTGAAGCCTTAGCTTATGGCAAACCAGACACTATTAAAGTACCTTCAGAAAAGTACATTTGCAGCACCACAATCCTTCAAATATATAGCCCTGAATTCTGAAGGATAGTTGTAAAGAGGAATATAGGATCTACCTTTCTTCTAAAATGAATCAACTTTGCAAACAAGTTACCCAGCAGAATTTCCATTGTGCTCCATAATAAAACAGTGGCAACAAAAAAATATACACACCTACAGACATACATGGGGTTTTGTATCAAGCTGACAGACACTAAAATGGAATAACAGAAAAATTGAGGAGAAAGAAAGGTTTATCAGACCTCCAAATCTCTGTTTAGTTATGTAGAGATAATACCTAAGATTTATTTTGTCTTTGGTGCACTAGCGGCAGTATGTGATACCGGCTGCCATCTTTCCAAAAGTTGCTGGCCCACCTAGATTAATTGTCCTCTGCAGAAAGAACAGTGACGTGCAAGGCTTCTGGTTTGACCTAAAAGCCTTCTCCTTAAAACGTGTAAATTCTTTGCATATATCGGATACACACGCACTACTCTGCAGCTGCATTAAGACCAAAGATCATCAATACTCTGCTGTTCTTTATATTCCAGGTACCACCTTCTTACTTGCCAGAATTATGACACCCTTGACATTCTTTCCTGTAGAAGTAATTAGGGTCAATATTTACCCTGTCTAGTAATTAGGGTCAATATTTACCCTGGTTATCTGCAAGAAAGTACCAATGAAGGAACAATTCAGTTAGGCTGCCACATTTCCTAGGAGCCACCCTCAAGCGTTTGCAAACAAGTCTAGTGAATGAAAGATGTTCAGTTGCTCCCCTTGCTGCATGAAATGCCAGCAGAACTATAAACAGGGATTTTCAGAGGCAACAGAGTTGTCACCATTTTTTATTCTCTGCTTCTATGTTTTAAACATGAACTTCCACCTGAGGCTTTTAATGTATTTTTGCACTCTAGAGTGCAGGCCATTGCACCCAAATTCATGCCTGAAGTACATTTTTCATGTTTGCAATACTTTTAGAAATTATGTTTATGGAATATCCTTGGAAGAGAATGAACTCTTTATTCATAATACATAAGTTTTACATTTTTAATAACAGAATTAGACCTTCACTGATTTTATAACTATACTATTAGCCAACACACTCTAGTTTTAAATTAATTTGAAATAACTCACACAATGACTTTCTGCAGTCTGAATTGGAGAAGCATGGACTTTGAAGTAGGCAGAGACTGTTAAATTAAGCAGTAATTGCAGCTACCACTGATGAAAGCACATAACAGTTTCCCTATTCCTTTGCCTGGATTTCTTCCGAGATGGCAGAATGGATGAGCTGCTGATCACTTTTTGCTAAAATCTGGCTTCAGAACTGGCACAGAGGTCTCTGAATAAACTGGATTTCTCAGTATATTTTCACTACTCTTTGTATCATGCAAATAGGTTTGTTTAAAAGCATAGTAATAATTTATGTGTACACCAGCATGGAGTCTATGCTACCTTCTTACAGAATAGCTTTATTGGACTAGCGCATCCCATTCTCAGTAGGATCACGTCCCACCGTGGCAGGAGATGTGAGATGTGCAAATGCACATGACTAGAGACCTCTGCAGATGTCAGTGACTCACTGCTCCAAATGAAGGAAAGCTTCCCTTCAGGACAGCATTTAAATACATGTGGGTGCTCTCCTTGAGAGAAGACTTAAATGTTTGCCAATGCCTAACACAAGTAGGACCTAACTGGAGCTTTTAGGTGCAGCTATAATATTATTATTAATTATTACACAGGCCATATTAACCCATAGGGTATCCACATGCTTACCTTCAAGACTGCTAAGAAACACATATGATCATGAAACAGAAAATATCTTTGGGGAAATAATATTGTAATAAATGTCTCAGTCACTGTGCTGGATCCTAACAGCATGTAGAGGGGTTACATTTACAAGACACAGGGTCTGCAAATAAGATATGGCATTATCTTGCAGCGGAAAAATCTCATCTCACCCCTCCCTTCCAAGCCCACTAATGTCTTAAATTTTCATAGGGCCTTATACTGCAATACTGAACTCAACAAAGCTGTTAATGTAAGTGCTACTACTGCAAAGTCAGTGTCTGTAGTGATATACTCAATATCTCCATGTACCAGGTGAGGAATAAACTGGAGTTGTTAGGGTTTGCCCACTTCAGAATTAGGTACTTTCTTTGCTGCAAATATTTCCATGGCATATTTGAACAGACCAACACATGCTGGGAAAGGCAACTAATGCTGGGTAGTTTCTAACCACAGAGGAGAAAAGGTTCTCTACTTTTGAGGACTGACAGGTCCTCATATGATAAACCTGTCAGAAGTGTTACCTAACATTGTTGTCTGCATGGCAATCTGTTTCCCAGTAACACCGGTTCTGAGTAGCAGTAATAGAATTAATTATACTTCATTTTGCTGTCTTTAACAGTATTGACCAAATTTAAGAACAAATGAGAAGCGCTTATCAAGCTTGAAGAAAATAATCCATCAGTGGCACAATTTAAATTCTCTGCAGTTCTCTTATTAATCAAAGTAACACTTACTATCCTATCTCCACTTCCCATTAACAGTCATTAAGCACTGTTGCTGATTGAAGCAATTTCTTTAGGGATCTCAACCTCATTTTTAAGAGAACCTTCTACAGTGGAAAACAATATCATACAGGAACAGCGACTTCAAGAGAGGAAGAAGGTTCTTCAATCATGTTCTGACCTTGACATTTCTCTGCAGCAGAAGTTCACCAAGTACACAACCAACGTGCTCCAAACTTCTGCTGTCTTTCTTCCGGCAGCACCAGTGCCCCTCTGTTAACTAGGGGGAAAACCACCACTTCCAAAGACGGTAATAGCCAGCAGGTTAGGTGTCTTTTAACAACTGTACTGGCCTGCATCGGTGATTATTATTTATAGAGCCTTTTCATACACGGGGAACAATAAACAAAAAAAGAAATCATGAGATGCTCATTCTGTCACCTTACTGTCAACCCTCAGAGAAATCCAAGCAGGATAAATCTCAAAGGTTATATGGTACAGAAAAGATTTCTGATGTTGACTTTCTCTCACCATTATAAACAATGTCACAGATTGATAGCTTTTGTTGGAACAAATGCAGTCCTTCTCAGAGGAAGCCTAGCACACGGATGTAACATAAAGGGGCAGGGAAAGCCTGAGCTATAAGCACTGAGCTACAGCAGCACAGATCAATATGTGTTCAGGGCTATGAATACATTGTCTGAGCTCTACACTGTAGGTGACACACAACCACACAGGGTAACAAAAGACATTTTATGTTTCAGGGGGATCCTGTGAGTCTCTGCACTCTAAGGGAGTTTGTTCTGTGGATGAGATTTATCAGGTTCCTTGCAAGGCTCTCAGGTTTACTGATTTTACAAGTCTTCATTTCGTGCCATTGCCCCTAACTCAGCATTTCCTAGAATTTTTTTTATTGCTTTAGACAATTTTAGAGAAAATGCTCCTCTTCCTAAATCAGGAACAATACTGAGGGGCTGGAGAAATCAGAGGTAACTTATATTTGGGCTGCAGTAAAACTCCTGACCTATAAAGTGTCTTAATGATGTTTATGTGCAAGGCAGATGTCATGTTCATCACATCACGATTCAGCTCAGTAAAAGGTGTATCTCAGAGCCTGACTTGGATCTCAGCATTCTACATCTCTCTCTGAGCAAGACATCTACTGACTGGACATTTTTGTCATGTACCTGTATGCTTTTTGGCCTTTAAACACAAGTTTTTCTGGCTGGTGTATGGCTGTGGCCATATAAAACCTAGTATCAGCCCTATTCAAGCCAAAGCTCCAACATTCAAGAGCTCGTAAGATCGATCATAAATGTTCACACTGTGAACTGTTTCCAAAGTTTGCCACCCATCATACTGACTGAGTTCACTTTATCCTTTCAGGGAAGGAAAATCCATCA